TGTTACTAAGCTTGATAAATTATAGTGGAATTCTATGATATTGATATAGTAATTTATGATTTTTTGGTTATTCAACCGTATATGGAGAAACCTAGAAAATTACTTTGTTTCATGTCCTCCATGTGCAAAATTTTAAAATGCAGTAACCGAGTACAAAGGTCATTACTGGAAGAGATAATTGTTTGCTTTACTTCTTTATTTACTCTTTTATGTTATAAGAAAAATAAGTTTAAGAATTTATTTCTAAATAGCAATAATCCATATACATATATAATGGATAATAATTGAAATGTGACTGTATTTTACAAAATATTTGTCTACTAAAATACAACCAAACCAGATCAGTTTGTAAAGACTAAAGGTCAGTTTATACTATTGGATACAGTAACATGAGTGCACATGAGCCACATCATTGTAAGTTCTGTACTGTTAGCCAGGCATGGCTGAAAGGTCAATATCATAAATATATATAAATGTATAATGTTATTATATTTAATCTATTTAGTCTAAACATTTATGTTTTCATGTTATGATTTGTAGTCATTGTAGAACGAAAAAGGCCTAATTTATATTTATTTCATAATTTTTTTAATGTGGTTTCAAGATCGATCAAATTAACCAAACCCATACAGAGATTCATTACTGATAATAACATATGAAATATAATGTTTTTTCGTAAGAAACGTTTGATAACCATCTGAACATTATAAATATTTTGCATGTGAAATTTTAAAATTTTCTGATGCACAAAAGTATTTTTTATCTTAAAATGAAAATTACTTTGCATGTTGTATAGACAAACATGTGAAAAGAAAAAAGCATGAGAAAAACATTGCTTTACAAACCTTAAGACTTAATAAAAAATTTTATATTTGGTGTATGAAAGGATTGTAATGTTTACTGATAATCTGCCAAATTTCTTTAACATACACTTACTATTTTAAAAGTTATAGCATGAAAACTATAACAAGCACAAAATGGTTACGAGGTCAGTCACAGGGACTGAGTCTGTGCTGAAAAAGTTAAAGTCTAAGAAATAATTTAAATTGATAGATTAATTTAAACTTTTCCTGTCACTGAGGATGAGTATTTTTGCTTGGACATTATATGTCTGCATTTAACCCTTTATATTTTATGAATTGCTCCATTTTGAAGTCTTTAAATGACATATATTTTTGGGGACATACCTCACAGTCGCCTTATAAAGCTACCATGTTCAGATCTCACTAATACTCTATCCCTCCCCCCTCCCCCCCAATCAGGTAAATTTTGCTTTCTTCACCTTTTTTATTTTCACTCTTGTTTTATCTTGAAAGCCACTCTTTAATGGGCAAATCTCATTCATTTTGCTTTGTTCAATGGTAAAGATTTTATAATTTGTAATTCACAAGTAACTATTTCTATATTTCTTTTGTCATCAGTTTATTAAAAAAACGAATAGTAATGCAGAAAACTTGTATAAGACATTGATGGACATTTTATTTTTTGTTTTGAAATTCAGGTAGTTTTTGTCATTTTAAATGCAATATTTGTGATACTTATAAGATAAATAAGAACTTTTGAAGAGAAACAAGTTGGTTAGGATATTAAGAATATATGGAACCCACCTCTGACCACAGCAATACGTTAATTAAAACATTTATCCATATATACACAGAGATTGTTGAGCTTTTGTCACAAGTGATTTTAAAACTAGTGTTCATTTTCCAGGTGACTTGTGTATATAATGACCACAGTTTTTATGTCTGGGATGTAAAAGATATGAAAAAAATAGGAAAATCTCACTCATCTATGTATCACAGTGCATGTATCTGGGGAGTCGAGGTAAGTTTTGGAGGTGGAGAACTTGATGATGATCAGCTTTGCTGTTATATAAATATAAAAGTTAGGGATCTTTGCAGTTTTAGGAATGCATAAAATAATCCTATCTTCAACTTATGAAATTAATTCTCAAATTGCATGTCTGTACTTGAGCAGTCATGATTAAAGACTTTTACAGAGTATTAGTATTGTAATTAATAGTTATATCTCGGTAACAGTTTTTTCTAGTTTCAATATTTCATTTGTATCCCTGTCTTAGAAATAATGTTGTCCACTGTCAGTATTGTAGTTAATACTTATACCTTGGTAACAGACTTATCTAGTTTCAGTATTTAATTAGTATCTCTACCTTTGAAATAATCTTACCTTCTGTCAGTATTGTAATTAATACTTATACCCTAGTAACAGCTTTATTCAGTTTCAGTATTTAATTAGTATATCTACTATAGGAATAATGTTATCCATTGTTGGGTATTGTAATTAATACTTATACCTTGATAACAATCTTATCCTGTTTCAGTAATTAATTAGCTTCTCTATCTCAGAAATAATGTTATCCTCTGTCATGCAGTATTGTAACAAAATACAAACTTTGGTGATAGCCTTATCCAGTTTGAGTATTTAATTAGTATCTCTACCTTAGAAATGACGTTATCCACTATTTATATTGTAATTAATACTTCTACACAGGTGATGTACTTTTTAAGTTACAATTGTTTTTAATATTCTATCATTAACACTTGGCTGTTTGTACTTAATCATTATGAGAAACTGTGATAACTAACAATCATCTTCAAAGAATCAGTGTTTTAATTACTAATTTTATCTTGGTAATTTACTTATACAAAACATTAGTTAAATAATTAATATTTTTTCTCCAGTAATAAACCTTTCTAAGAATTGGTTTCATTCTTACTTGTTATTACCGTGGTGACACTTATCCAGAGTGTCAGTTTTGTTGTCACTCCTTTTCATCTAATAATGCATGTATTTAGTTTTTTTAATATCATAGTTTATCAAGGAAATTTGTTTTAATTCAGAATGTCATTATTGTAATTATTCTTATTATTATTATCTTGGTTACAGACATATCCAGAGCAATCAGACAAACAAAGATCAGTGGTGCCACCTGGAACATTTTTTACTTGCTCCAGTGATGACACAATAAGAGTGTGGAATACAGAACACAATCTAAACCATAATTCAAACTTTCAGAAGAATATTTATAGTTCAGTAAGTTGTTGTTTTGCGAGATCAAATAAAAGAATGAAAGTAACAATATTTTTGGCCAGTTTTTAGGAATCATTACTTATGAAAGATTTGTCAAATACTAAAGAAAAGTACTACATATTTTAGTCAGGTGGTAAAAATATTTGTGATACTTTGAATATTTTCTTGTTTCAATATATATTGAAATAGTTTTACAACACTCTTGCAAGCTTGTTTTGAAACACAAACTGGAAAATTTTATAAAATATAGTTTACAACCCATTATAAGTTAGCCTGTTAACATCCTTGAGTAACTTTTAAGATAGATAACTAGATAGATATGCATTCAGATTTAATATAAGCCAAGTAGTTAAAAAGTATGGATCAAGCTCATGATCTGAGGGTAAGTTGAGTTGTGCTGGTTAAGGACTAGTTTCTAACAGGCAATTACAAGACCCTCTTCTGTTGTTTATTGCATTTCATTCTCAGTTCTACTTATTGCAATATTTTAAGTACGGTAGTACTTAATAGTAGGGATCGACAAGGATTCCATATAATTCACGAGCCTATTGAATTCCTAAGCAAAAACCCAACCATTCAAAGTATTGGTTACAATATACTATGCATATATATACTAATAATTTGTTTAAAAAATCGCTAACACTTCTGGCATAACAATTCAAAAATTTCTAAAACAGCAACTTTTTCATCTACTACCTACCTGATCATGTCAGCGGGACTAGCACCTAAACAGCTCAGACTATTGCTAAAAGATTTCTCCAGCTTACTTGACTGGTCTGTGGGTATCCGCTTTTGATATTCTGATAAAAATCCAAATATATATATATATATATAGGTATAATAGAAATGGTAAACATATCAACCACATACTTAAATATCCTTTCAACCCAACAAATGGCGTGACATATTGATGGATAGACACACAACAGTTTCTAAAGGTAAAGTATATATTTTATGCAGGTATAACATAAAAAGTAAGCAAACAAAAGTATCACTTTACTTGTTTGTGTACTTTTTATTGCAGCATTTATTTTGTTTTGGGTACTTCTTATAGCAATTCTACGAATGACCAATATTCCTTACTTTCCGTTAAAATTGTAATTTTTTTCCTATTTATACTTACCAGTTTCATCTGTAAAATTGAAATGATCCAGTACACTGGGCGATTACTAGATGTATTTCAGAAAGTTAGAGTGTGTTTTTGATTCCAGTGGATAGCCACTTGACAGTAGTTAACATGTGCCTACTTCTTTTTACATCATGAAAATTTATACACAAAACCTGAGCACTTACCTTTGAGTAATTATACATCTTTAAGTATTAAAACATTCCTTTATATCACATTACGTTTCAAAATATATCATGTTTGGACTTGTAGATGTACTTTACATAAAACAGTATTTACTTTTCTTTCATCTAACAAAATGTTGTCCTGTGTAAAATAAACCAAAGATTGTTGGTTACTTTTAAACAGAAATCTGCAATTTATAAAGGTTGGCAGCGTTTTTGGACAGTTGCAGGTTATTGATATCATATATAACACAAGATTCATTTAATCTCATTCAAACTTTCTAAATCTTCATTGATTTTCTTTATGAAACAAAATAATAAGCAAAAGCTATAAAAAGAGAGATTCAGAAATTTGGAATAAACACTCATTTAAAAGTTGCTTAGTTGGTTACATAAAAAAAGGTATCTAAAAATGCAATTTTGAATAATTTTATTCTGTAAATTTAGCATTAGGATGTAACACATAATTCATATCTTTATGTAATAAAAAATAACATGTATCAACAACATAATATCTATAATGGAATGATAGCTATGTGGATAGATAGACAATGTTATCAAAGAAAGAAACTAACAATATAAAGACATTAGAAATGAATGTTGTAAACTTTATCAGATTATCTAAGAATGAGCTTTCAATCTTTTTGAGTACTTCACAAATTGTGATGAAAAATATTAAATGAACATAATGTAACTAAAAATTGATTGTAATTGAATTATTCAAACCTGTTAAGATATTCTGATGGTTAATAAGATCATATTGGACAACTGCCAAAGCTCTTTAATGAAACATTTATTAAATATGTTTATATGATTAATATATTGAGATATGTTAAGCAAAGCTAAACAATAGATATATTCATTTGATTCAGGTATCAAATCTACTTTATTACAAAATTTTATTTTGTAGTGTTTATGACAGGTTTATCTCGATCATACCATTGTATTTCTGATTTGTTCACTGTGACTAGGAATGACCTATTTGATTTATTTCCTCTTTAGGATCTGCTGAAGATTTTGTACACAGATCCAGATCTCACTTATCTGTGTGATGTGGATTTTAATCCAGGTAATTTGAATAATTTTATTGTGAAAATTTATCTGCAGTATATTTTTATATTAAGTGCTATTTACCCATAAGTTTAGCAACTAGAGGAAAAGATAAAGTACAGTATTGCAAATAATTATGTAAGTTGTTAGAGATGGCAAATGAAATGGGAATACTGCCCCTTTTTTCATGTGAAAATTAACTCACCAGAGTATAGCCACATATGATAGTTTACACTAGGATTGTCATCCAACCAGTCAGAAAGTGACAAACCAATACAAAGCTTATAAATATACTGGCAGTCATACTGGACATATTCATGGCTACAAAACAGAAATGCTGCAAGATAAGTATTCAGACATCAATGTTTTAACTGGTTAACGGTACTCGGGGCAAAATATCATAGCAGGACTCCCTATTTCAGTAGGAACTATATGCAAGGTTTGTGAAGAATATGCATGAAACTGGCACTGTTAATAATAGAAGTAGTTGAGGTAGAAAAATCCAAATTCTCAAAAAATGATGTTAACTATTTCAGGTATGTTCATTACAAGATAGAGGATGGCTGAGTATAGATTTTCCCAACAACCTTTCTGTAAATACAGGTGTGGGTATCACTTCGAAAAAGTAAGATAAACATTAGCAAAAAAAGTGGTCTTAATGGATGAGTAGGAGCTCAAAAGCTGCCACTGAAAAGAGATAAGTAAACCAAAAAGTCAAAGTGTGCATTGGACCACAGACAGTGGAATGAACAAAGCTGGAGACTTGTTCTTATTTTCTCATCATATCTATGGTTTCAAGTTTGAATTGTTCAGAAATAGTAGTAACAGTTTGTACAACAACAGAGAAAAGAATAATATCACACTCAGTGTACAACATCTACAGTGAAGTATGGTGGGAGATCAGTACAAGTTTGGGGCTGCATCCAAGCTAACAGTGCAAGTGATATACACAAAACTGGCAGATTCTAGTCCATCATCAACCCTTTATAAACATGACTTATCAGGTGGGGGATTGTTCTTTCAGCAAGACAATGATCTTAAGGATACAACAAATGTGGTGTTATAATATCTTGATGGTACAGAGGCTGATGAACACTCAATAACATGTTTAAGTCAGCACAAAGTCCCACTATGAACATTCTTAAGAGTGAATGAACTTATGTAAAAAACTGAGAAGGTCAAAAGGCAAATATACAACTTGTGGGGACATTTGGAAGCAGTAGGGATAGTTGTTGACTTGCTTACATGATGTATGATGTTCCAGTACCACTGGCTAGAGTTGTGTTTTCTGATAATTTGTATTTTATATA